TCACTAATAAAAAATACATATCATTATCTGTCATGGTTGTTTTAGGCAAGGTCTTCTTGTATAGCCAGGATAGCCTTTAATCTACCATTCTCCTACCTCAGTCTCCCTAGTACAGGAATTAATAGTGTGTGCCTGCCACTGTATCCAGCCACCATCATCTTGTTGATAACGTTCTGTGTTAAACATAGAAAGTATTTTACTTGAAAATGGGTCAGGAAATGAGTTGTTTTTTCAGGGTCCTTTATTTGTAAACTCAACACCCACTAATTACTCAAATGTGTTACATTGTGGACAGACAGGCCTCCACATCCTGAACCTCATCAGTCCTAGTGCCTGAGGGAACAAAATACTCAGATCTCCATATACAGTGATATCTTTTCTCTTGGCAGGAACGCCGTAAGAAACAGCAGTGGGAGATTGTCCATAAGCAGAATGAGACATTACAAAAAATCTCAGCTCTGGCATTTGCTCAGCGATACCTGGCTGACCTTCTCCCGTCTGTCTTTGACAGTCTCAGGAATAGTGGCTACTTTTATGATCCAATTGAAAGAGGTTTGTGAAACTTTTGTTAGATTCATTGTTAGGCTGAGAATATTCTTACTGGTTCAAATTTATTTCATGTGTAAGATCACTGCCCTGGTTTTTTGTTGTTGTTGTTTTGTTTTGTTTTTGGTTTTGGTTTTTTTTTTTGTAGTCCTGGATAGCCTCAAACTTAGGATTCTCCTGCCTCTTCCGCCTCCACCACCTCTTTCTCCTCCTCGTCCTCTTCTTCCTCCTCTTCCCCCTCTTCCTTCTGGATGCTGAAAACGCAGGTATGTGTCACCATGCCTACCTCCTGACCATTTTTATTTTGAATTAGAATTTTTATAGTTCTGAAATAAAAAGTCAGCTGTAGATGTTTAAATATCATACTTTCTAAATATGTACCATTATTAGATATCAAAAGAAAAGTTTAAATATTTAAAGCAGTGTTATAACGGTGCTGATTTAGGGTGTTAGCATCTCTTACTGATAAGCAGGATTATGGAATAGAATGGCTTGATGTGAGAACATGAGTTTAGGACCCAGTTTCACTAGCTCTATGACCACCAGTTTTCTCATTTAGAAAAGATTTTTTTTTTTTTAGAAATTAAATCATAAAGTATGTGAGATTTTATGTACTGTACACAGACTCTTTCTGTTTCTGTAGAGAACCCTGTCCCTCACATATTTTGGCACAAAGTGGGTTCTAAAGTAACAGAAGTATAAGGATGAATTATTTTAAGGATCTGGAACATTCTGGGCAGTGATGGTGTATGCCTTTAATCCAGCACTCAGGAGTCAGAGACAGGCATATCTCTGAGTTCCAGGCCACCCTGGTCTACAGACCCAATTTCCAGGACAGCCAGGGCTACAGGAGGAAAACCCTGTCTTAAAGCTGCCCCCACCCCACCAAAACAAAGAAGTGTATGGTACTGGTCTTCCAATTTGCTAACAGCTACAATTACTCAAGCCTCTCCTAGAAGCATGGCGGGCAGTAAAACCTGTGATATGAACTAGTTAACCAACTTACCTAGACAAATGCATTTGATTATATTGGTTGACCTATTGTGCATAGCAAGGAATTTTGTGACTCTGTATTTAAAACTTTTGACAAATTGTGGAAAATAAGAAAAGCAATGATGCTGGTTGGCTGCTCCTACTACAGCTAGATAAATTGACAAGAGCAAACCCTGAGTCCCGTGATACAGTGAACCGACCGACGGCAGCCTGAGTCCCGTGATACAGTGAACCGACCGATGGCAGCGTCTTAGGTGACCGAGGACAGCAGTGACCTCAGTGACGCAATCGACTGGTGCCAGATGTGCACAAAAGACTAGAGGGGTCTAAGGTTCTCTCTAGCAGCCATGAGCTCAAATTACAGAAAATCAAATGGAAGCACTGACCGAGCCCCCAGGGGCAGGTAGGGTCAGGTAGTCCAGGGCACAGGCAGCAACACAGCATAGCTTTTGCCACATTCTCTAAATATGCTCTGGTTAACTTCCATTCTACTGCAGTAGAAACAGTATTTTACAAATGACGAGGTTTTCCACAGAGTGAAAACGGAGTTGGGCTCGTAGGCAGGCACAGTCTGAGCTGGGTCAAGGAGGGAGGGGAGGGCAGAGAGAAGACTGCACTGAAGTGGGATGCAAACCTGGGGACCAGCACTGCTGGAAAGAAGAACACCTCCCTCGAGGCCAGAGCCAGGTGGAAGCTGACCAGTTGAAAGGGCGTCTGAGAAGGGGCCATTCAGAAAGTACTGCAGATTAAGTCGGGGACTAAATGCTTCCGTTAGAAGAAACTTTGCTTCGACTTAAGTGGAATATTCATTGTGCAAGCACTTTAACAAGGTTGCCCACAGCAATCTACACTCTAAGTTTCAGGATGGTTTTTAGGGGCAGGCACCATATGGTTATTTAATAGGGTGATAATGAGTAGTAGTCAAATATTGAATTTCATAATATATATGCCATATTTCCAGTAGGATTTTCACTTTCAAGTTTTAAACTACGTAACAGGAAACAAAAACAAACATCACTGTTCTCTGTGACCAATGAGAGGCATTCACACAGAGATGGTCCCACTGTTCCTGCTACATTATCTGAGTTTATTTAATGTTTTATGTTGAGAAGACAGTGATGCTGAGCAGTGTTATTAGGGAAGGACACTGTAATGATTTGCAGAAATGGCTTAATGAAATTCTTTATTGCAGATATTGAGGTAGGATTCCTTCCATGGCTAATGAATGAAGTCGAGAAATCCATGGAACACAGCATGGTGGGAAGAACTGTGGTTGACAGTAAGTTACTTTATATAAAAGCCGTATCTGAGATTTTCAAGAAGTGCAAGTGAGGGACAAGTGTTAGGGATGGCTCTTAAACTTTGAGGCTATCAGCTATATTAACAAGGGCACAGTTTTCACCCTCTCTCCTGTAACTTCATTGTATATCTTTTGTTGTTGCTTTGTACATGGTGTCTTCAAAGATGGAAAGGCATAACCTGTTCAAAGCACTGATCGTTGTGTATGCTAAATGTATAGAGGCTTATAGGAAGGGGAGGCCTAAGGGATGTTTCTACCTGTCTCTAAGTATGGAAACTCAAAATGACCTCTGAACTTTTCAGTGTTGATCCGTGAAGTGGTTGAAAGAAGGATCAATGATTACGAGCGTAAGGAAGGCCCGCAGCCCGCTCAGAGGACACAAGATGTGGTCAATGGTCCTAACACAGTGACCGATCCCTCCGTGAGTTTAGAATTACAGGAGCCAACCACAGTGCCCACCCAGAAGCCAGTTTTAGACAGAGTCTCCTCACAGACAACACCATTCCAAGAAAGGAAGCCCGTGGAAGAGGGGGATCCCTTATGGCAGAGTGACCAATCAGAACTGAGGGAGTCTGTAGGGGAGGACCTGTCACAACCAGAGGGATCACTGGATCCGGAGAGCAGCTCAACATCTGGTCAGTAGTAATGCAAGTCAGGTACTAGTACGTGTGACCCAGACTTTAGAAATGTGAGACTTAGCCACCAAGGCTTTTTGTCTTGCTGGTAAACAAATCAATTATGATTAAAAAAATAAAACTAATAAAACTGACACTTTTTCATTTATTTAACAGAAGATTCAAAGGCCATGTTGTCTTACTGATAAGAATCTTGTCCACGCACTAGCTTCCCGTTACTCTCATATATAACTAGTGAGTGTATCTCTTCCTATCTTGTGAGCTAACTTTTTTTTTGGTAGGTCTCATATCTCACTGAGATAATAGGTGCTGTCAGCCATTAAGTTTGTCTTCTCTGTAGGAAACTGGTCCATTGACGCTGTAAAGAATTCCTAAGCTCATTCCTGAAGGCTGGGGTTTAAAAACTGAACCCTTGTTTGTATAAAATTAAACAGCCACCCCTCCAGCATCCGTGCTTGACAAAAGACTGCCTGACTGATCTGGACCTGTTACTTCTTGTATCTTCCTTTTTTCGTATCTCATCCACAGAGAAGTTTCAGGCAATGCCAATCAAGGCAAAGCAGTCCCCCCCTCTACACACAGCCTCTGTTGCTGGCTGGCTGGCTGGAAATGCCCAGACCTTTTGTGGGCTATTTAGGCTCATATATGATTCAACATTTAGAAAATATACATGTTTACATTGTAACTAAAAAATGTGTTGTTTACCTATCTTATTTTTTTACCAAATAGTATATCTTTCCATACTAGCTAACGTAAGTTGCTTGTCTCTTAAAAATGTTGCAAGGTGTTGTGTATTATAGAAGGCTGTAGTATATAGGGGAGTACTCGACTCTTAACTCAGCTCATTTAAAACATTTCCTGCAGTAATGGGAAGTGCAGATGACCGTCTCAGCCTTACGGCTGCTGGCAGTCACTGAAGCCTGCATTGTCACGCAGGCATTGAGTCTAGCCTTAGAATGCCAGTGGAGATAGAATCTACAGTCATGAAGTGGCATGACTATATATCTGCTGTGATTTCTTAAGACCAGTGCAAGAGTGTATATGTGATTATAAATATAAAATGAGTGCACCCAGTTCTCCATGTATTATATCACAATACTGCTTAAACATCATGGAAACTTCCTGAGTTGGGTAATCATGTTTATATTTCCATCTTCCTTTAGCTAAGTCAGCCAGCAGACATGAACAGGTACCTGCTGCATGTCGGGTACAAAGCAGGAGGTACAGACCTACGGGCACAGTCCTGAGTAAGACACATTCACGCTCTCATAGTCTCGTAGTGTTGCTGTCTTGAGTATGTGCTATGAAAGAAGTACATGCAAATGAAGACCCCAGAGCTGGGAAGTGTAGGGTGATTTACAGCAGGTAACAAATGCAGTGAGTTACTGTCACCAGAGCCTTGGCTAAGACTCCAACCTCATAAGCTTCCTCCTCTGCCCTCTGCCCTCAGGAGGCACTGACTACAAATTTGAGTTACTGCTCTGCAGAAGGTGAAACATTCAACTCATTGTTACCCACTGCTGGGCTAGGTTACCCATATTAAACAGTCTTTATTAGCATTCTGAAATCTGTAACATACTGATTTTAGCAAAAAGCCCCAAAAGTTTGATTACAGTTGTTGCTGATTATTAAAATATTTTAATCAAATTTAATAGTAAATATTAAATTATTTTCTAAAATACAAGTTACAAGTTATTTAAAATTAATTTGAAGCTAATTGCTTTTTGCAATAATTTCTTCTTCAACAATTTCATACTTGTATATAATTCATTAGAATTACTTATGTTCCACACTCTTTTATATCTCCTTCCCCCACCCTGTAAGCCCTCTCTGTCAGTCCCTACAAAACCCTTTCCCAAATCTGTGTCTGTTTTGTTCTGTGACCCACTGAGTTAATCTAGGGCCATCTGTGTAACAATGAGTTTGGAACTGTCTGTTGGAGCCTGGTGGGCTCCCCAATAGCTCTGCAGGGAGCCCCACGACCTCCCCACTTCATGACTGCAGGGCAGTCTTGTGTAGCCCCAGTAAAGATAATCACAAGCTGTTGTGAGTTCAAGATTATGATAGCTGTGTTGAATCCAGAAGGCATTTCACAGCCTTGTGTGTCTTCTAGCTCAAGTCGTCCTGCCTCCTCTACTGTACTGTCTCTGAGCCTTTGGGGTGGCGTAACATGCCTTGAGACAGACTTAGCCTTGTCATCGTCCATCCTGGAAAGAAATAGAGATGAGTGAAAGATGAGGGTACTTACTGTACCTGAGAGAAAATGAACCAGCTGGAAACAAGTATATTAAGTGAAGAGTTTGAGTTTTCATTGTTTATGAAGAGTTACCTCAGGCACACATGGGCTGCAGTAAAGAGAAGGCAGCAGGCTAAGGTTCCTTATGTGACTGGTCATAACCATAAGCAGCTGCACAAACAGGTTGATGAGTAGACACCTTCATCTCCATTGACTTTACCCACATTTGTTAAGGCTCCTTTTATGAACCCATCCCTCCTGCTGTTTCAGCTAACACTGAGATGACAGGGTAAGTGATGAATGTGTGGTCACCATACAGAGACTGGAATCATGGCATTGATCCCACATAACTAGAGAGAAGCTAGAATGTCATTTCCCTATTTAACATCATGAGGTTTGAGCCATGTGAGGGAGACTAACATAACCTGAGAGTCCCTCCAAGAACTTGCAGGAACTGGTATGAAATCTATACCCGCAAGCAGCTAACCCTTGCCTCAGAGGAGGGCTCTTCCTTTCTCAAAGTTCTCCTATGTAAAACTGGGGAAAGAACTCACTCAGTGTTTTTTTTCGTTGCCTATTTCTTTTACCCCAGCAAAGTTTTATTTTCTTATGTTGGCAAAAACATGAACCACATCATCCAGTTTTACCAAATTTTGATTCCATATGTTCTGCCTATTCTAGAAAGTTTGACGTGTTCTCCCTTAATCTTTTATTTATCTGTATTGTATAGCAAAGTAGCCTTGGCCATTTTCCTAAACATATCTAATGTGAAGCCACTCTGAGGAGCCTCAGCTCGAGCCGCATTTCCCCACTGATAGAACCATTAACCAATGCCCATCATTTCTTAACTCTCCCGCCTAGACAGCCTGGTCATTTGACTAATCTTTTAAAGTAAAGTTCAAAACAGATGTTTGTCAGTATACTGATTCATAGTTTTTAGAAAATAAGCATTTTAAATGTGTGTTCATTACAGCCTTCTAACAGTTTAGATTCTATTAATATTCATATTTACCACTAGGGGTCAGTAAAACACTGTTAACTTAAGCTCAACTTTATATGTAATTTAACGGCCATAGGAAAGCTTGGCCTGCTGATAAACTTGTGCCACAGTTTTCAGCCAGAGAGAGAAGCCATCATACCGGTAGGAAAGGGGATGTAGCTGCTGGTTGTTACGTTAAGCAGAATAAAACAGATCCAGAAAGACAGATGCCAAATTTTTTTTCTCTTACATGTAGACTTTAGCTTTGAATTTGTGTGTACACATCTATACACATCTGTTTGTGTGTCTGTGTATCTGCCTGTGTATATGTGTTTGTCTCTGTATATGTGTATACGTGTCCATGTGTCTGTGTATCTGCCTTATGTATATGTATTTATGTGTGCTTGTGTGTGAAGTAGAAAAGGAACTGAGAAGCATGGAAGTGATCTTCAGGAGACAAAGCGGGTGAGGAAAGGGGATGGAATATTGGAGAGAAGAGGGGAGGGGGGATCAGCAAGACGAGGGGGAGGAGGAGGGGCAGGGGATACAGGAGAAGACTGTAGGGAGAGGAAGGATGAGAACAGTGCATAATGACATGTTTAAAATTCCATAACAAGCAAGGTTCATTGTTTTGTGTGCTGATTTTATAACTTGTAGAGCAGTTCTTTAAAAATGTATTGCAGACTTTGGAGATCCAGACCCCCATTGACGACTTACCTTGCTCTAACATTATCTACCAACTTAGCTGGGTGCCAGACCAATTCTCATGATTGCTGTAGACTACAGTTCTACTATATTCAATGACTTCTTCAGTCTTCACCCTGGATCCTTCACAGGTGGCCATTCTGTCAGCTGCTCTCTGTTAATTACCACATCTGTCAGCTCTCCTTCACCTGTGGGTTCTCGAGTTCAAATGTAGGTTGTCAGACTTGGTGGCAAGCACCTTACATACGAAGTTACATCACCAGCCCTAATCTCTCCTTGTTCAGTCTTAACATGAGGCTGATTTTACCTCATGAGCTAGGAAACAGTTCGTTCCTGTTTAGTTCTGTCTCCCCCGGCCCAGGCAGTGGTAAGTGCTTATTCAGTTACTTGCTCTTGACATTGTGATTAGAAGTTCTTTTATACCACATTAAAAGGTATCCCAGGGCACATGTAAAGACACCCGCTATCAAGCCTGATACTTCTCGAGTTCAAACTCTGAGACCCACACAGTAGAAGGAGAGAAATGACTCCTTTAGTTGTCATCTGACCTCCACATAAGTTCTGTGGCATAAGCATTCACATACATTCATAGGTACACGAGACAGAAAAAAAATGTTTAGCGCCTTCTCATTTCTATTCTTAGTTGTAATCATTAGGAGTTCTTGATTATGATGACAGAGGCATGATTATGACAGAGGGCAAAATTTTATTATATCAGCATGCGCATATACCCCAATTAATATCTTTTCTCCCTAGGTGTTCTCTCAGCAAGATACCACTCCTCCCAGTTTTCTTCCTATGCCAAAGTTGCACAACCTCTCTCCCTCTACCCTGTAACCACTACTATGAAACTTCTACTTATTCTCATGTATCTCTGAAGCCCAGATGCTATTGGACATGTACTCTCACCACTATGGAGTACTATAAAACTCTTATTTTCTATGACTTAGGTAGCACCAACACATATCATCTATCTCAAATATATACAAACACATTGTATAGAATAGCAGTTCTCAACCTGAGGATGATGATCCTTTCACAGGGTTTGCCTAAGACCATCAGAAAACACAGATATTTACAATTCATAACACCAGCAAAATTAAGTCATAAAGTAGCAATGAAAATAATTTTAACATTGAGTGTCATTACAGCATGAGGAACTGTATTAAAGGGTTACAGCATTAGGAAGGTTGAGAACCACTGGTCTAGAACATAGAAAGAAGCTTAAAATAATGTTGAGTAAGTGCAATACCACAAAGTCCACAAGCAGTGCCTCAAACCCGCATACCTACTCTCACATATTCCTAACTATTTTGACTTGTAGATGGTAATTACACAGAAGTTAAAGGTGGCAAACAAGGGGACAAGGGGAAAGTTGTTGCCATGAGCACAGCATGGAGCCAACAGTCACAAGAGAGAAGGCATAGGAAAAGATCTCTTGTAGTCTAACAGTCTGGGCTAAAACAAAACATTCCTCAGTCCTAAACATTGTATGGTGGCACAGGACAGGAATTACCTGCCATATATGGAGGGGAACACACCACCATCACCACCACCACCACCACCACCACCACCACCACCTTGAATGCTGGAATAAGTACGTCTCAAATTTCCCTGTCTCAGTCTTGTTTCAGTCCCACAGCCCTGGAGACCAGCAGACTCCAGCCATAACAGCTGACAAGTAGCCTAGCAGCCACTGAAGGGAGCCAAATAGGCTCAATGTCCCTCAAAGCCACATTCCAAAAACACTTGTCACTATTTGACTTTGGGTTAGCTACCTGGAAAGCCCATGTTTAGGGCCTAACTTTATTTGATTTGACTCAGAGTTTGCTCATTGACAAAGGTCCTAACACCAGGTCATTGTCAATAAATAGTGTAAATCGGGAGTGAGTATAATGTGACATTTACCTAAGATGGAGGCAAGAGAGGGAGCAGTAAGAGGTGGTTAAAAAAAAATATGTGTGAGTAAGATGAGCATGGGAGCTTAGGAAACGTTGACATACTCCTGGAGTCTGCATGGAGAGTGACTGTGCGTGCTCAGGAAAGACCTGAGATAGCATGGATAACTCATCCCTCCCTGCTTGACCTTGAGGATTGATACGTAGGAATTGAAGGCATGCCCAACCCATATAGAGCCTCTCAGCAAAGGATGGAAGACCTAGTGACTCACCTTTGTCTTTAGTGGTCATCAGTCATCATGACCTGAGATCAGTTCTCCAAGACACTCACAGTGGATAGAGAGTACTCACTCCTGCATATTGTCTTCTGACCTCTCTCATGCACAGTAGCATGCACTGCCCACCCAACACACATAAGAATGGTTTGGAAAGGGATATTTCTAATATGAATTCTAATTGTTGACCCACTAACTTTACTGAGCAGATTCTAGTGGTCACACACAACAGAGAAGAGAATTTGACAGTATTTTTTGCAAGAAGGTTATTATAAAAAGTAAAATATGGGCTGGAGAAGTGGCTCAGTGGTTAAGAGCACTGACTGCTCTTCCAGAGGTCCTAAGTTCAATTCCCAGCAACCACATGGTGGCTCACAATTATCTATAATAGGATCTGATGCTCTCTTCTAGTATGTCTGAAAACAGCTACCGTATACTCATATAAATATAATAAATAAACCTTTTTAAAGGATAAAATAAAACTGCAACAAAAAACTCAAAGTAGGGGTTGGGACAAGAATCTGTCCTTCAAAATACTATGCCACCCCCCAGACAGTTATTAAATTAACAGGCTGGAAAGCCAAGGGCAGGTAAGATTCTGCACAGAGCCTTACCAACCTAAGACAGAAATGCATTGCTTTGGATAATGCATATTCCATGATGGGTAAGTAAGGCATTCTTATCAGAACGACCTAAGACAGGCTCAGTCTTGTTAATGAAATAAAAAAGGGGAAGAGGCAGAGAGCCTTTTAGGCTAGACCAAATAGGCTTCAGACATGAAAATGACATTGGGCTAGGACAGGAAAGTAGGCTTATATATTTTGGTCATCCTGATAAGTCTTTAGAAACAGTGATCACAGAAGTGTTCACAGAATTTTGTTTATTGCCTTGCTTGTTCTCTATTTGTATTTATTGTCTTGCTTGGTCCTTGACTGTTTGCATCTATTGTATTGCTAGACCCTCAACCTAGAACTGACCTGAATACTTGCATGTAATTCAAATGGTATAAAAGCAAAAAGGAGGAGGGGTGATGGGATAGGGGGTTCTAGGGAAGGGAAATGGGGAAAGGGGATGACATCTGAAATGTTAATAAATAAGATATCCAATAAAATAAAAAGAAAATGTTTGTTTTTTAAAAAATACTATGCCATACTTCAAAAAAGAAATGTTGGGGGAAAAAAAACATACAAAAATTGGAAAGTATATCCATGGAAAGGAACAAAGGTCTGTCTGCAGAAGCTGTGTGAGGAAGTCCATATTTCAGCTTACAGACAACATGACTTGAATCATCTGCATGTTCAAAGAGCTGAAGGAAGCAGTGTCTGAGAACTCGTCTGTGAGAATGTGGTCTCATCAGCTAGCAAAATCAGTGACGTCAGAGCCAGTGGGGCTGAGAATCGGCTGCTCCTCAGAGAACCAGGGTTCAGTGCCTAGCCATCCTCATGGCGGTTCACAATGGTCTGCAATGCCAGTCCCAGCGGATCTGATGCTGCCTTCTGGCCTCATCACACACCAGGCATGCATGTGGTGCACCGACATGCAAGCAAAGCACCCATCAGAACCAAGTGAAAATTCTGGTGTTCAAAAGTTCAGATTCTGAAATGAAAACCTCTCTCCGGGACTTCCATAAGCAGGTTTGATCTGTGTAGAAAGAATCCCCGAAACTGGAATTAATAAAATAAATCCACTCTGAGGAACAGGAAGGAAATGAGGGAAGGCTAATGAACAGAGTCTCAGAGACCGGCCCAAAGCCATCAGGCATACGAAGATTTGAACAGGGAATACCAGATAGAAGAGTCCAGAAGAGGATTTGAAGACACATGGCTAAAAACCTATACATGGTTGAAAGTACCAGGTTCCCTATTCAGTAGGCTTAGTGAGCTCTCCATAGAATAAAGACACCACGTGCCAGTGGCCACAGAGTTCCAAGAGACTAGGGAAATTGTGATGGTAGCAAGACAAACATGACTCATCCTGTGCATGTGCCCCTCAGATTACCAACTGACTTCATATTGTACAGACAACATGGGAGTCAGAAGGCATGAGGACATCCATGTATTCAAAGAGAAAGACTGTGAGTCAAGAATTCTGTCTAAGGAACAGCGAAACTGTACTTCAAATGTACAAAAAAATAAAACATTGCCAGATAGTAAAAAATTGATCAGTCCCAACACACCACATGGACACACTACACATACGTACACATGCTGCACACCTGTACACATGCACACAAAAGAGCTGTGACTGGTGGCCCTACCCTACAAGAAATACTAATGCTGAAATGAAAAAATAGTAACTCAGATGCATGCAAATAAAAAGCATCAATAGAAATCATATATACACATGTAAAAGACTATGCAACTTTGTGACTTTTTCTTTTGCCACTTAAGAACTACCAGTATTATAAACTACCAGTAGGATCCTAGTGTATCAAGATACAAGTTTCAGATTAGCAGTACACAGGTGGGGAGACAGAATGGTCCTAGAGGGAAATGCTCCGATACTATTAAAATTAAGCTTGTATTAGTCTAAAGTAGATTAATTCAATTAAAATGTGAACTATAATTCCCAGAACAGCCACTAAGAGAATAGTTTTTAAGGAAAATAATAAAAAGGAAGCAAAGTATTACATCGTGTAGTGGAAGACACACATTTAATACAAAAAGGCAGTAAGGGAGAAACAGAAGCATAAAAATGTGTAAGACCTGTGGAAACACAGCAAATGACAGAGGCGTCTCATAAGCAGTTACACTAAAAGGCTTACACACTCTGGCTTTCAGAAGGCCGCAACTAGAAGAGTGTAAAGTTGAACAATCCAATCATACTATCTACAAGAAACACAACTTGGCATACTTGAGGGAATCTCTGTTTACGGTGCATGCCTAGGGAAGACATGAAACTCAGACAAATACATCAAAAGTAAAGCTATGGAAAATGACACAAAGCCGGAGTCCAAACCAAAGCTGGAGCGGCTCTGCTGCCGGTAGACTGCAGTCAGACTGCATTGGTGCAGCAGACCCTTGCGGGGGTTCACACAGGGCATGTGCTTGCTTCAATTTACAGTTTGGAGGGGTTTTAGTCTCGGTCAGTGACTCCATTGTATGGGCCTGACATGAAATGTGGGGAATAGCAGGTAGCACTGGCTGCTTGCCTCGTGGTGGCCAGGAAAAGCAGAGACACAGGAGGATCTAGAGATAACTGTTAACTTGATCATTACAGATCATGTACATGCGTCGTTATACCGCCTCCTATAAATATGTAATTTAGTATACCAATTTAAAAATTGACCTATTAATAGAAAAAAACCAACATAATCTAAAGAAAAAACTGCATGCTAAGATGTCCCAGCTCCTGGGACTAATAATGGTGACTTTCAAACAGCTATTAGAAATGTCTCTGATGAAGTAAAACAAAAAGTGAAAAATAAGAAGTCCCAGCATTAATGAAAGAACCAGTTGGTATTCTAGAAGTGAAAAGCAGTGCCAGCCTCCCATTCATCCACTAAGGGATCTGAGCTCAAGGACCACTACTCTGTGAAGCCTTCCTGGGGTTCCAGCATCCAGCAGCATACACATGGCCCATGAGAAGGAAAAAAACTCATGAAGAAAAAAGATTCAAGGAAAGTTTCCTCACTGTTCAGTCAGATGCTGTGGCTGAGCAGAGCTGGGCCTTTTTGATTCCAGGAGATGAACATCTGGTCCTGCAGCCTTCAGTGGACAGGATCTACTGCAGATACAAGTGCCGTACCTTCTTTGACATAGTCAGGTCTTGGGCTGACAAGCCTTAGGACTCTTACCTGTATACCATAGGAGGCCCAGTGGCTTCTGGTGAATTCCACCAGGGTTTATTTCACTGGCTTAGGCTCTTGGCTACAGCCAGCATCTGGGCAGCTGTCCCGGCCTGCGGGTCTCAGTTATTCGTGGGGGCGAGGGGAACCAAAACCTGGAAGAGAAACGGGCGAGAGAAAGGAAGGACCCAAGCAAACGGTTGCTTGTCAAGAGCCGTGTA